TACTTGTCTAACCGATCCGGTCTTGCCCATATAGGAACTGCTTTTAATATTATCAATTTACCAAGTGTTTAAAGGTTTTTATTAATATAAACACATCCAAATCAGAGATTTATGCGAACATTTTAGAGATCTGAATGTAAATTACACCAGTGCTATTGACCCCTTATTACTTACAAGGCGATGTATGGATCAATTGCTTCATGAATCGTAAACAATTATGTACATGAAGGAACTGCAGAGTTTTAAAAATTATGTTGGATTTGATCTCCATAAAAAAGGACCTTAAATTAAATTAAATCGCTATGTATAGAAATCAATTTAAAAAATATTACACGCATTATTGTAAAAAAACTTCAAACATTTACCTGAAATCAATAATCCCTGGTATTGGATTCATTTTGTACCATTAAAACTACAAATACTACATTTGTGTTTTATTTTTATCAGTTAAACCAGATATGAAAAAACTTTTACAACTAAAATGAGCAAACTATAGATGTACCCATCATATAATGACTAAGAGCACTGATTATATATTAATGGTGTTCAATATCGGTCGAGCCATCTAAAATTGAGCTCGTGTCGGTAAGGTGGATGTCAGTTGCGATCATATATCCCCGAATCGTTGTCGCGATCGATAACCACTGGTTTGTGGTCACGGTCGGATGACCCAAATTGTATTTGCGATTATATAACAACATTGACCAAATCAATTTGACCACAAATCACCCTCCGCTGACCTAAGTACGCTCAAAATTTCAAATTCTTATAGAATTTATAAAGCCTAATTGATTCGTGGAGTCACGTCGATCGTGTAGATCTCAATTGCATTATACTTTTATACACAAACGTGCGGTCCGTGCAGAAATGTGGCCTAATTCATGCACTATTTTAATTCCCACTACTAAATTTTGTCTTAGGTAGTCTCTTCTTTTAAATATAATATTGTTTGATGCAATATGTAAAGATTCTAAAATTTTTGTTTACTCTTAATCCAACTTCCGCAAAAAAGTTTGGTCAATATGAGTAGAGCCTTTCGCTAGGCATAACCGAAGTGCAGTGCACATGTGCTCTTTTATTTTGTTCATTGATTGCTATGGCTTCCTTGTGGCCATATCAACATCGTTCACCTTGACAGACGATCTCAATTATCGGTAGATTGCAGATGATTATGCGCCTGCTTCAGTAAGCACGTCTTCCTTACGTATATACCCAGTGTCATATTGATCATTGTTTCTTCTTCAGCGTCTACTTCATGATCTTTGTCCGAAGCCACCTTAGATGAAAAACAAGAATGGTCGAAGTGTATATTTTTGAAAAAGGTACGCAATCTGTTAGGGGCCTAGTACGTCGTATCCTGGTGTACCTGTGCACGTGATAAACTTTCTACAAGTCCAAGTATCGATAGAATTTATTCAGCTTACCTCTTTAGTACGAATAGTCTTCCCTGATGTCAATAGATCCATTTATTTGGGTGTCGACATCTTACTAGCTGAATGTGGGTCTGGAAACCCATTGATGATACAAAAGCATGCGACGTGCCGTACCCTCTCTTTTGAATTTGGCATTCTACTTACGTCACGTCTATAGGTATTCCCACAGACCCCAGTGGCCTAGTGGTAGACCACTGGAGCTGGGACCGAGAGGTACCTGGGTCGATTTCCTGGAGGGGAGTTCGATAACACGCCGCCGAAGATAGGATAATAAAGTATGACGAGCAACCACCCAATGGGTGGCCGCCCTGCCATCCCGCACCGAAGGGTGTGTTATAGTTGGGTGGGCTGGAGTCCCTACTAGCCTAAAAGCCCCATAGTGTAATGAGGGATGTGGGCCCCTGGCGAGTTCAAACCGAGCCGCGGTACTCGCAGAGCACCCCCGGAAGATCTGAGGGGTCACAAGGAAAAAATCTCTATAGGTTCTCCATATACCATGAATCAGAGAGGACCTCTGAAATATTTAGCCTTCCATTTCGCTACATATACGTCGATAAAGGCCCCTCAATTAAATGCCGAATATTTTACGTTGATAGATAAAGGTGGACTCGAGATATCGCGCAGCTTTTCTATCCCATACATGTACCCTCTACAACAGCGTTGAAAGTTAGAAAGATTTGGTCGATTAGTACAAATTTTTTCTCGATTCCCAAGAAGTGAAGGATATTAAGAAAATTTTGCTGAATTACTATTTAATAGTCTATAGAGCTTTAGCAGGTACATTTTCCAATACGTTATTTGTGTCACGTCAGCAAATTATAGACACGGATCGTGTGACTATTGTATGACGGAAGGGTTTAAGTCACACTAATCATATCTACGTAAAATTATTGGACCTGCGCTCGCCTATACTTACGATCTTTAAGAATTACCATCTAGATTGAGAAGGTTTCAGTAATATTTTATATTTTCCGTAAACAATTGGCTAATGTTCTTGCCCTCGCCAACGCTTTCGATGCGCGAAGTCGATTCTGGATCAAGGAGGCGAGAAAATATAACAGGCCAGCAGCTCTAATATTTGGCTGATATGGAATCACAACAATCGTAACAGATTAATGCTACGTCGATCGCGATTTTTTGGCGACCTAATTGTCTCATCTGGACGTAAAACACCATCAGCTAATGATGGTCGCGGCAGTTGGAGAGTACAATGGTGATCTAATGAAGAATACAATATTCATATGACAGAAAGACGTAATTATGGAATCCTCGATCAAGGTGATCTACTCACGCGTTTGGACAACCCAACGTTAACTACGGCTATGGATTCATTAATAGAAGACGTCGCAGCTATCGCAACGGTAAAGTTCAAAAAGGAAGTGCAACGAGCAAGTTCGCTGACAGTGCGACTGATTTATAGCGTACCAGCCGGAGTAATACCATCTCTAGACCCATCCAACCTTCGTTCCGCTGCATGAGTTCGACAATCGTTGCCCTATCTCACTAGACCTTCAATTCGATTGCAAGATTGATTGCGTGAAATATTATAAGCCATATCTAGCGAAAAAATTAGATATCATATATAATTTTGCTTCGACCGATAGCCATACGTCGCACCGCATTTTCGAATACCCGTATTCGACAGATCTAAACGTAATGATCTATTGCAGTCGGTACACCCATCCCAATTTTTCTATCTCGTAACGACACTGCGCGATTAATATAAACGGCGTGTGTAGGGAACCGCCGAACATTATCGATGATTCGCTCAGAATAACAATGGGACAATGAATCCTATGTAATATAGTTATAAGAACTATATATGAATTGCGTTTCCCAACACCAACTTACCTCGCTATCCCTGGATTCTTGACCATCCTAATCGGTTTTTTATATCAACGTAAGATGTATAGGCTTGTTCTATCCGCGTTGTAAGTTCGATCATTTCTCGGAAAAGTATACTTAGCTAAATCTCATCATTTTTAAAGCCATATTGACATATAAATTTTTGCTACGAATTTCCTAATCTCGTACTCTCATTGGTATTGATTGACTTTCCATCTTTTAAATATTTTATGTATAGCAGATATACATCCAATGACCAATGCTCCGTGTGTGCGAACGATACATACATCCGAAATTTTGATGGCTCACCAATTAGTTACAATGCGCCTGTATCAATTTTTTGAGTCCCAGAACGACCAAACTTTATCGGTAGCCTCTCTTTTATTGCCCATCTACCTCCCGCAGTGTCGATATGCTCAGGGCTTGGCATATTTACCCCGAAAGCGGACAAAATTGGCCACGAAACAGTTCCATTTAGACAAAAATGTTGAAGAAAACTAGTGTGGCCTCCACTTTATTTGCGAGCTGAGCAAATATATGGATCCGATTGATGTACTATCCTCGTCCCGAAAAAGGTCCGTGTGTGGTATTCAGATCTTATAATACGGAAGAATAGCACATAGAGCATCTTAAAACCGCCTTTACAAAGTGATGTACTGTTGAGCCATCAAGGATTTAGTAACAAAATTTTTTGCGTAGGTCACTATATATATTCCTTACCGTTACGGATAATAGGTTCATAACGCACAGGTTTCAATTTGTTGTAGTATTTATTACAAATGCATCTATATATTGATTTTATTTTTTATTTGATCGAGTCCGTTATTATATTTCTTCATATAGTCATCGGTCGTAATCGCACTCTGAGTCACCTTACCCATTCCGCACATTACCGTTCCATCTTCGCCTGCACCCTTCTGCATATTTTTTACGCACCCGTACGAATGATATGTCCACTACAAACCACACATTGCATGTCAGCCATACAATTTTTACCCAGCTGGCCACGTGATTTGAATCGACTCCGGATAACAAATTCCGATATAACACCTATATTAAAGATCCTCAATTAAGACCAGACTTGTTCACGCAGGATTGGTCGCTGAAATTTGTCAGTATCTAAAATGTGACGTTATACGCGACCAAAACATGTTCAATAACCTTATCGAAATCGTTCGTTTATATTACTTAGGATCGTTTTCCTATAAACAGGCCTCCCTTTTAACGGGAGACCCGTAAATACGGTCAATAAGCTATTTACGGGGCGAGGTCCGACCTTAGATACGGTTATTTACAAGTCCTTATTTATACTATTACGAAGAGCGTAAGCAGTTGGGACAGATGAGTATCCAAGTACCGTGTTTGTATTCATTGTCTCCGCTTAGAATATTAGTGTGTGCAGAAGCCTGAACTGCCTTGCGTGCATCACGCCTTCTAGGGAAAAGTCTGTCAAGCTCATCCGGTGGATGTCTTTTTCTTAGTTTAAAATGGAGAAGTCGCTCTCTACAGAGGACGTTCCCGGATAAGTGCTTTCCAGTCCACCAGAAAACATCTCCAGCTTCCTAAATCGATCACTTGTGAGTTTCCAGGCCATGCTGAAGGGCGATTGGTTTGTACACCCGTCCAATGCATGACGATAGGGCTCTTTATTGCGGTCAGCATTTTTGAGATCACAAACTCGGTTTTAATGGAGTCCATTGTCGCTTCTGCAGAAATAGGGGCTTAACGAGCAGCAAGACATTCACGTTGTACGCATACAATAGCGGTAAAGTCACGTCCATTCAGTTTCACCAGCTCGTGCGGCAGCACTGGTGGCAACACGTCCAAGGAAAGGCCCTTCAAAGAGTTTTGTTCGGCCACGACTTCGTCCAGCCCAGCGATCAAATTTAACAGGCCCTTGCTCACATTGTTTGCCAGGTATTTCATGCTGGCTTGCCCGGAATGTTGCATGCGATCGGATACAAAACCACCCATGTCTTCCAGAAACGTGGTCATATCTGCGACACGAGATGAGAAAAAATCGTTGCCGGACACAGCGTCTCTCTCATTGTCGATGTTTTCACGCTGTCCAGAAGGTTTTTGCCCGTTGATTTGACATAGTCTTTGTAGGAATCCGTAGATTGGCGATAGCTTGACGCTGCCGCGAGACCAGAGTGTCATCCTTTTGAAGTTGCTTGAAGGTAGCGTTGGTGGCTGCGGACACATCTTCGACGAACATAATGACTACCCACCATTCATACGGCGGTTTGCAGGACGGTTTTTTTAACTCCAGGTACTCTTTAATGGCCACACGGTGCGTTTTGAGCCAGCAGGCGACCTATGACATGGATTCCCACCTTGTTTCTGCGACTGTGCGACATTTCGTTTTCATGTCGTTATTCAGGTTCTTTCGACGGCGCAGGTATCCAATGAGTGCTGTTAGCATTGACTTAAAAAAATTTCCTCAAATCTTCGTAGAACGATCGCAACTTCAAGTCCAATTGATGTGAACCACACCAGATGCGGTAAAAGCCAGGAAATGCTGCTTGTTTAAATAGCGTGGTCACCTCGCCAATGTGGCTGGTCATTTGCGGGTCGCCGCCGTTGAGATTGAAATCAGCATAGTCTTCCATTCGGTGCAGAGTACATCCAGAACTGCCAAAGCGTGGCGGCACACTTCTGCTGCCGTATGCCTGCGGAAAATCGGAACCACAATCAAGTGCATGTTGAGGATCTCGCCCTGCCATACCCGCCGAATGCGAATATCTAGGTAAGAAGTCGACATGTAAGTGGACATTACCAACGCAATTGAGAATGCCCAGCTATTGTCTAAGATGTCTTGGATGTGTTGCAGATTCAAGGCCAAAATAAAGCGAGCGTACTGAGCGACTCTTTCATCCTTGGCAGTGCCAATCTCCGCAACGCCGGTGACTTCTTTCGTCATGGTAATTAGAGCTTCTGCTTGGCGAAAGGAAACTCCAGTGCCGAGGAATCTCGCCACCAGATTTACTTGCTTTGGATCTAAGATGTCGATTCGATATTTGGTAGTGGCCAATCCAGAGTCTTCAACGGTAATGGGATCGATATCTTTATAGATCCTTAGTTCTTTTTCCCTGCACATGTTCAACAGACGACCGTCGTCGTCCTGGTCGAGAAGTAGGTTCCCGATGATGACGTCGACAACCGCTTTGTTAATGTAAATCTGCATTAGCGTCTGGTTGCCGGCCAAGTGCGATGAAATGGTGTTCCTGTGCCTAACTGGTGCATCTCAATAAAAAGGTGGCCTTCTGGTCCCTGGACAGGATCTTGAGTTGGTCCTAGCGAGCCTTGTCCTGGCGGCTGAAGTGCTGTACGTTAATGTGGGTTCGAAATGGTTTTGCGAAAGACTTAATATTTTCGGTTCTGCGCCGCTTCCGTTCTTCCTGGGCGGTGCTCGTGTCTGTGTCCTCTCGGCCAAGTGAATACAAAAGAGACAATTTACTGAAACGACCTCCGACGTGGCTGCGTCCCGACTTGCGATGAAAAGTCCCTAGTTAACTCGGTGGTATGGGTTGATAGGAGTACGCCGCGTACCGCGCGGCATAGCGGGAGCACGGGAGTTGAGTGTGAAGATGGTAATAAGGCGTGCTTGAGACAGAGTGCGAGAAGAGAGGAGGTGGGGAGGGCGAGTTAAAGGAGGGTAGACAGGCAAGAGCGCCAGTATCCATTAGGGTGCCGCCAATAAAAAACAATTATTTAAGGTTCTTTTTTACGGGACAACCTGGACCCTATTTGCGATTTAATACGGTACAAGTACTATATGCCCGTAAATACGGAGGCCTGACTATAGACCAACATTGTTACTGTTTTATGACGTTTTGTTTTTGGAAAAATATTGATCGAATTATTTATATATCCGTATATTTGGGTGCTCTGGAATATGTTAATCATTTTCACTCAAACACACATACTACTGGGAAGAGTCGGTACGGTAGCTCAGCGTTTTAAAATCGATCTCATTATTTATAAAAAATTGTTGCCACACGAAATAATTTGTGCCACGAAAATGGAATCGAGCAAAGCCGTCCTAATCACCGATACATATGTACCTTAACCTAGATCGCTCTAAATTTTTAAGATACTGTAAATTGTATATTTGGAAATCGACCTTTTTAAAAGTCAACCGATTTGGACCGCAACTTACCGTAGCTCTTCAGTATAGGCGTTGCATGTCATACCACGATATATAAACATCTAGAACACAAGATTGGCATATTTTAAATGAACGGATGATCCATTTTATGTCTATGGTCTAAGCCATTTATCAAATGCAACAATGAACTTGATCGGACAGTCCTTCGCGAGGTTGATAGCTATTTCAGGCGTTTTACTCTTTTGCTCTTGCTTCACGATATATTTCGTAGCTTTTGTGGAGGGCAACCTATCGTTGTGATTTCCAAAGCGGTTGATTCCAGTCTGATTTTGCGTATTCGGTTCTTTTAAATATTATACGCGTAATTGCTTTCTTCACATTAGACATAAAGTTAATCGACGTCGTCAAGAATAGCACACTGCTATCGCGATGATATAACTAAACGATGTTGATGTTTTTTTCCCTAGAAATTATACTGAAGTCGATACAGTCATTGCTGTTGCCATTCCAAATCCTTTTTGTCGCCGAGACGACTGATACATATTGGATGAATCGTTTTAGTGTTGTTGCGCAACGTTCTCTCACCTTCGAACCCGTCGTAAGGGCGCATTGCACCTTTTTGTGTACTCGGGTCGATACCTAGTGACCGTGTGTTAGATTGGTATTGACCGGGTAGAAATAACTCACACTCTCGCGGTTACGTATCAGGAGCTTGAAATAAGCTACATAATATCTTTATGGATATCTTTGTCCAAAGTTGATACTTTACTGCTTTCATTCTGATCTCTTAAGCCGTTCCGTAATCTAGTAAAGATAATACCTATTTTATTTGCGCTCGACCTCAATTGAAAGGGGAGATTATATTTTATTTCGCGCCAAGTATATAAAATTTAATATTATTTATTATAGTGCAATCGTCGTTCTCTTAAGAAAAGAAATTTAACGATGGACTCGGAAAAAGGTCGGCGCGTACGCAGTTAACGTATATGCAAATTAAAACTGATGATAGCTTAACAACTGGTACAGCAACTATAGATTTAATTTGTATGGCAGAATGTAGTTGCCACGTGTCACCTTTGCACACGTAAAAACTTTGTAAATGTCTTTCTAATGCGGAACATGGACTGCTGGATCAAAAATTACCGGTGCAATTGCATAGCGTGGCCGACGCATATGTTAAGCTACATGACCGAAGGTGAGTATCAACTTTATTCTTACTAATATTAGTTTAACCAATAATGTTGCCAAATTTCATACCTTCGTCGTCTCATAACAAATACTGGAATACGCGACTAACGTACCTTGTTCCCGTTCTTGCGAATTCACAATTTCAAAAATTGCGATGCATGACCTTCCACAAACATAATCATCTGGTCGTAAATTTCTAAAAGAACTTTTTTCCGTGGCATATGCTGTCATATTTACGCAACTTGTTCTTTAAAATATTTACCTTATCAGCTATATTTACTCCAGTTACGATCGTGTATTATCCTTCCTAGTCCATTCCTACCAATCAGACTCCTATCGGAATTATCTGGTGCTCCAAAAAAACACAATTCTTTTTATAAATATGTATTTGGCCCTGAATTTGTCGTAATCGTCTTTTGTACCGATCGTCGGCATATAGTGTCGATATGACTGTGCGTTTGTACAATAAAATCCCTTCGCTTTTATAACTGCCAGTTTTACTGTGGCCAATCTCGTGTCGTTGGTCATTGCTCACACTTTATGGTCAAGCTAAACTGATTGTGGGCTATAAACGCAATTGCCGTCAAGCGTTCTTCAATTCCGGTCGCGTATAGTCTGGCACTCACATATGCAATATACTTGACCATGACGGGATCAGATCCAGCTGGCCTTTTCCATGCAACTATTCCAGCGGCTGCTATGGTGGATTAGGAATCCCAATACATTTAGCGTTATCGTTCCTGAACCAATACGAAAGTCTGGATGATATTAACAAAGTTGAGATTGCAAGCAATTGTTTCTGATCCAATAATTTGCGTACCTGTCCCACTAGCCATCGATCACGCGAATGTAAACGACGCAACCTATTTTCTACATCAGCGACTAGTACTCCAACAAAGTTAAACAATTATTGATAAATTATGGGTTTGCGCTTTAAAAACAAAAGATCTACAGAGACCTTAAGTAGAGCGCTCTTCTATTGATGCACTTCATCATAGCAATATGTCCTTTTTTATAAAGCAAACCCAACTTACTGCGTACTCGATAATATGCAAAGGTAGAGCAGTCCAAAATATTTTAAACGGGGATGTTTGTTCGGCATCATCAGACTCGATAATCACGCATTTGTATAGGACTGAATCGTTGTAAAACAAGAGCGACGAATCGAACAAGAAATATTTAAATGGCGAGATAGCAATCATGCGGAAGCTTTTGGAAAGAAATACGTAAACGAACAAAGTTCAATAGGTAATAATTTTTTGCTAGGTAACGTCCAAAATCTACATTGAAATGCAACTTGCATTCGCATAAAAGGCTTACTTCTATATGCACTAGATCAATGCGATGGCTATACAGTTGAGCAAAAAAATGTGTAGACTCTTCTTATTACAAGTGCGGAACGAATGCATACTAAAGTTTTAGTTGGTCGATATGTCACTTTAATGTATGTGTGAATTCTATGATTAGACTTGTTATATTGAGGGTGATAAAGCAGTATCCGCTGTATAAGCATAGCGGGTTTGCGAGACGTCATTTATAGGAAAAACCGTTTTAAGTCCGCCTGCGGTCCATGCCCACATGCTCTTACTAATGCGCCAGCACAGAAGAACTGCCTAATCTATATTTGTAGCAAAAGTCCTCGCTATAATACCTCAATATCCGACCCTTCTGTCTTTTTAAGAAAAATAATATCGAAAGACGACAGCGCATTGACCACTTCCATTGTACTTTGAAATTTGAATTATACCACAAGTTGCCCAGTTCTGCTATAGGGTGTACGATGTTGCGCTTCGTTTTTGCCTCTTGCCGAGGGCGAATGGACGTCTGTTATCGAGGACAAAGCACTTGCAGCCCAGCCGGGCGTGAAATTGCTACCACGAAGCCGCAAGTATATTGCGAACTCTCGCCCCCGACTAGATCGAATGCAATTATAGTTTTCGCTAGCACGACTAGGCCCCGATCACGATCTGGATCTTCTTCGTTGACCGCCGATCACGATCCCGTCCTGAACCCGGCGTCGAAGAAGCGGTCAGTAAAGCTGTAGAATCCATTGGCATTTCTCAATAGTTGCGAATACCATTAAAGATATTTGCTCCTTTCATTTGCATATTATGGTATAGGTGTATATCTAGTCAAAAGTTAGTTGTACATTCTCAATGCACAAGATCAACCATCGCCTGGCTTATTCCGCGAAGCCGGGATCGTGATCCAGAATGAATCTTTACTCAGATCGCCTTTTCGAATTTAGTTGTACGTTTCGTCTACCATCTTGTAATCCAATATTATACAGAACCTACCTTAACTTAAGCAGCTTTATGATCGTTCACTTACTGTGACTTCTAATCAAAGGGTGAAATCAGATGCCTTACGCGTTTTTATAAGTTGCAGGGCTCAATTTACCTACGACTTTAAGATATTATGGGCCGCAGCCTGAGGTCGACCGGCTCTCTACCTGAACACGTTTAAAAAAATCTGGAGTATTGTTGACTTGTCGTTGACGAAACTAATTCTTTACTGTTAGCGAGCGTTGGCCAATCCAGGCCTTCTTCATTTCTTGAATCAATCTTCAAGACCCGCAAAAGCTCTTCCTCTTACAAATTTAAGGCATGCATAATTTTGCCCGC